AAGCACGTAGACTTAAACGATACAAAACATGTACACTACGAAAACAAAATAAATTATTCACAAACAATGAAAAACTTTTCTACAGACAAATCAGTACCAAAACAAATACTGATACACAGCACAGTGGCACACCAACAGAAGAAGAACTCACAACTTATTGGTCTTCTCTTTGGTCCAATGCTGTTACACACAATGCTCATGCAGGCTGGATCAAGGAGGAGAACAGAAACTTGCACAACATACCAACTATGCCCTGTGCTGAAATAAACGTACACGACATCCGCTATGCTGTTAACAGAACACACAACTGGAAGACATCTGGTGTAGACAACATTCACAATTTCTGGTACAAAAAGTTTACATCACTGCACCAGGAACTAGCTAAACATCTAACACACATCATCATCAATCCACAAGACATGCCAAAATTCCTTACTCAGGGCATCACCTACATGAAACCTAAAAACAACAACACCACAGACCCCACACAATACAGACCAATTACATGTCTACCAACACTCTACAAATTATTGACATCCTGTATCACAAACAAAATATACAAACATGTTGAAGAACACGACATTATTACAGAACAACAAAAAGGTTGCCATAGAAATCACGGGATACAAAGAACAGTTACTAATAGATTCAGTCATTCTATGGCAAGCACACAAACAACACAGAAACATACACATGGCATATATAGACTACAGAAAAGCATTTGACAGTGTTCCACACAGTTGGCTGCTACATGTTCTACACATGTACAAAATACATCCATCACTCATTGCATTCTTCGAAAACACTATGCAGCACTGGAGAACAACACTGCATCTCAGGTTAGTAAAGCCAGATGCACACATGCGGCGCAGCAAGGAAAAGCAGTGACGCAAACGCATCTTTGCCGCGCGGCAGCACAACCACACAAGCGGCAATCCGCTTACATTTCGGCGCATGCGTTCAGTATTCAAGATGGCAAACAATATCCATGTGTTTACACACTGTCCCTATCCACGTGTTTACAAATTTTGTTTTGTACAGCTCTCTTTATTTAGCTAAAAGATTTTGTCGAAGATTTGAATTAGAGATATTTTTTGGATCGAGAAAGAAATGGTGTACAAAATAGACTTATTCGTGGATCAAGATCTCTCGATAAAGAATACTATTTCGAGTAAGATTCGGTTGTTTTGTTCTTTGAATTAAATTATATATGATTATTTGTGTAGAATTTGTTTTAAATTTGTTATCCTTTCCTCTTTATTCTGATTTTAGTTATCTCGGTTAACCGCCTCGAACTTTCCGCCATTAAAACACCACGTGATTGTATTTTCTCACGTGACTACGAGACAAACTTATTGGCTGATAGAAACGCGTTGGTTGAATTCTGTCTTTAGTGGCGTTGCTGCAAAAGACAGAATTCAACCAACTTTTGCGGCAAAAAAAGTGACGTTATTCTGCAGCGTTTCCTTGCTGCGCCGCATGTGTGCATTCAGCTTAACACTTCCATACAAACAAATGAGATATTCATTAGGCGAGGAATTTTTCAAGGAGATTCCTTGCGTCCTCTCTGGTTCTGCCTAGCCCTGAACCCATTATCCAACATGTTAAACAACACGCATTATGGCTACAATATCAGACATGAAAAAACAACAGTTTACACTGTCGCATCTCATGTACATGGACGACATAAAACTTTATGCATCAACACAGAAACAACTTCATCAACTCCTACAAATCACACACTCATACATTAAGGACATACAAATGGAGTTTGGGTTAGACAAATGCAAAAAACTTCACATAGAAAAAGGAATCCTGAAGGAAGAAGATTTTGCACTTGGAAATGGGGACATTATTGAATCCATGGAAGAGGGCGAGTTCTACAAGTATTTAGGATTCCAACAGGCCAAGCTAACAGAACATACACAAATAAAGCAAAGATTAATTAAAGAATACCAAAGTAGGTTAAATGCCATTCTCAAAACACAGCTAAATGCAAAACACACAGTTAAAGCAATAAACACATATGTCATCCCAGTACTCACATACTCTTTTGGAGTTATACATTGGACTCACACAGATCTTGAGCAACTCCAAAGGAAAACAAGAACAACACTTACTAAGCATAAACAACATCATCCTAAATCTGCCACAGAAAGATTAACCCTTCCACGTAAAGATGGCAGATTTGGCCTGATTGACATTGTTAACCTTCACTATAAACAAATACAGTCAATATGAGAGTTTTTCTACAGGAAACAAGAAACATCACAATTACATAAAGCAGTAACTCTAGGAACTCAAATATCACACCATTAAACTTACACTCACATCATACAGACATGACACAACACACAAAAAGCATAGACACCATCAAGCAAACATGGGCTCGAAAAGCACTCCATGGCAGGCATCCTTATGACCTGGCCCAGGATATTGTTGACAAAACTGCGTCAAACAGCTGGTTACATCGAGGATGCCTCTTTGGGGAGACGGAAGGATTCATGATTGCAATACAGGATCAGGTCATAAATACTAAAAACTACAGAAATCACATACTCAAAGATACAATGCTCACAAATGACGCATGCAGAAAATGTCACATCGTGGCAGAAACTATACAACACATCACTTCTGGATGCAAGCTCTTGGCACAGACAGATTATTTACACAGGCACAATCAAGTAGCAAATATAATACACCAAGAGCTTGCAAAAAACACAAATTGGTAGACATTCACGAACCATACTACAAATACATTCCACAGACAGTATTGGAAAACAACACGCACAAAATGTACTATGACAGAGCTATAATCACAGATAAAACAATTTACCACAACAGACCAGACATCACACTCATTGACAAACACAATAAAATCACATACATTATAGACATAGCCATTCCAAACACTCACAATGTACAAAACACATGCAGTGAAAAAATTAGCAAGTACACAGAACTCGTCCAGGAAATAAGGCATCTGTGGAGGATGGATAGGATGCTTATTGTACCTGTTGTTCTCTCCTGTACAGGTGTGATACCATACACACTACATAAAAGCCTGGGAACATTACAATTGAGTAGAAATACATACGTCACACTACAGAAGGCCACTATATTGAATACATGCCACATTGTTAGGAAATTCCTGAATACAGACACACACACTGACACGCTTATTTAATTTTAGTTTTGTTTTGGTTGCTATGCCTTGACTCTGGTCCGGCATAGTACACAGCCACCCGTGTGAACCGAGTATAACTCACAAAACCCAACATAATAATAATAATAATAGTATTTACAGGCATACACTTGAGCAGACTTAATATCGTTGGGAAAAGGAAAAGTAAAACAAAACTTTATTAATAACAAGCAGTCTTGGATAGAAGAAACAAAAACATAACTAAAAACATTGATATGAAGCAAGAACAACCAACAATAGAATTTCACTTGCAGGTTTTTCCTGAAACCCAATAAGCAAATTTCCTACTTTATTCATTTTATTTTATTCTTTAATAAATTTAGTCCACATAATGTAAGGATTTTGAGAATTGTTTTGTATGAAAAATTGAATTACTATGGAAACTTGTCTTGAAAAATGACAAGTTTCCATAGTAATGCAAAACAGGTTTGTTAGCCAATTTCAAACATTTGAATTTTGTGCAATCACCTGAAATTGGAAGGCCGTGATATTTTTCATGTTTTCTACAGAAGAAACTATAGTCAAACCCTTGTGTTTTATGAATATTCTAATTTTATATAATATGAATATGTTATATAACATAATTTTTACACAACATGAGACTCTAAAGGAAGCTTAACTATCATGCTTATGACAGTTACTGATATTAACTTATCAAATAACTGTTTAACTACAATGCCACATCAAGTTTCTCCAACAACTGTATGTAGTTTTACAAATCTATTTCAGTTGTGGTTTGCAGCATCGTGACAGTGTTTACTGGTTTACATCACTGATATTAAACCACATTCTTTAAAAGCATGTTTTTATATTAATTCAAATATTATTTTCTTAATTGTCACAAACTATATTTCATTAATTCTTAACACAGTTTTACATGTAATGTATTCATTGTTGGTTTGCATATATTTTATTAAAAACAAACAAGTCTGTTTATTCCTTTTTTACTGTTAACATGTGTAATTAGACTTATTTTACTTGTGACAGTAGTTTCTAAAGAAATTCAAACTCCAATGATTTGTTTTAGTAACAAATGCATATTTATAAAAGTAGATCATAAAGTAAGATGAACAGGTGCATAAAATATAAACACGTTTAAGTTGATATTTTATACATTATAACTTTAATACTTGAAATCAACTATATAAATTGAAATTTTCAACGAATACAATATTCTTCAATGTAATCACCAAAATTATTCCGACAATTGTTTCTATATATAATAAATTTATTCATTCCTTCTTCATAAAATCATGTAGTTGACTGCATATCTCACATTCATTTTGATGTCAAACTTGAGCAAATAATTTTTCAGAATACATATTTATAGTTATCATTTTTTAACAGTTAACAGATATTTTTTTTGTGTAAATGTGTACATAATATTTTTATATATGATTAACTTTGGAAAATGGGTTCTGTTTATTAGAAATAATTTTTAATACAGTAGAACCTCGATTATCCGCCCTAATTGGGGACTGGGGTTGGTCGGATAACCGAAAAGTATGAAAAAATCCATTATTAGTGTAGTATATTATTATATCCCATGTAATTAGTATATTGCTATTAACCTATTTTGCGTTGAATTTTCATCCATGTTAAGCCTAACAAAAATTTTTTAAAATAATAATCGTCGCTATTGTAGCACCACATCACTAGCGGACATTTGAAATTTGCCGACTAGGACGGTCGGTTAACCGAGGGGTCGGTTGATCGAGGTTCTACTGTATTACTAGAAAATACAAAATGTGTTTTTTTTTTTTAATAATAACAACTTTTTTCTTTCTTTTTGCAGTGAATCATCAACTGCATCTGCACTTGTAGCTTGAATTGTGATCCTCGTGGTCATGTATTGTTCAAAAGACAAAATAAAAAAGAATTGAAATTAACTTGATTTTTACTTTTTGAATATTAATTATGTAGTTACATTTTTTTAATGTAAATAACATTACAAAGTAATTAGAACTGAGTGTTTGCATGAAAAATTTGATTTATATAATGAGATATAATATTTTTTTATAGAGATTGTGATGATTAATAGTTTAATTGTATTCTGTGCTTTAAAATTTGCTAATTGGCCTCTACTATTAATCTCTCAATATCTATTAGAAATTTACAAAAATTCAAACAAATACTGAGTATCAAGCTAAATATTGGTTTCTAGTCTGAGGAATTATCACTTTTTGGGGAATGTTTTCACTTGGATGCTAATAGACATTTTTGGTTTTACTGCTTTATTAAATATGCATTTCAGACAGCTCTGTCCCTCTTCAGTTTAGAGTAGATGCTTTGGGTTACAGGTTATTTTACAAATTCACTGAAGACTATACATTTTTTACGTTTTTTATTATTATTGTAAAAAAACTTGTAATCTGAAAAGCTTCTAGTTTGAACAGTTCTGTCCAAAATGCAAATTCAATAAAGTAGAAGCACCAAAAAAGTTTTTTGTGACCAAATCTCATCTTTTGGGAATGTTTTCATAAGTTCTCAGACTATAAGTAAATTTTTATCAAATAAAAACATTGAATTCATTTTAAAATTATTCCAGTGTGTTTTTATCAAATTGGAATGGAAAAATATACAGAAAATAACTTTTTAAGAAAAATATCTGTTTAGAATTATATAATCTTTTCATCATAACAAATATTAATTTTTTTCTGTAATTCTATTGTCTTAAGTCAAAAGTTGAGAGTTCAGTATTTTTGAGATAATATGAGTACAATTAAAAGTAATTGCCACTGACATTTATTGTTCCATTTAGTGACTAGTTTAGTTTATGGATATTTTTGTGAAATTTCTTTCACAACAATATCCATAAACTAATGTTTTATAATGCTTTTGGTTGTTCCCAAACATTTCTTGATGATGTACATCAAATCATCGTCCAATGTGATGTGTCTGCAGAAGTCCAAAGGTATGGTGGTTATAGGGCAACATATTGAGGGAATAAAGAGGAGAATGCTTCAGATTTCAGAAGCTTGGAAATCAATTCCTTGAATGGTGTCATCTACTTTCTTCATCATGTTAGCTGTTAGCACTGATCAGATTCCTGAACAAGCTTGGTTGATGGTGTTGTCTTTGTGACCTTTTTTGAACATTGAATTCCATCTTGCGACATTTTGGGATGACAAGTAAGTTCTGCTGACAGACATCTATCTATCTCTATGGAGTTTAGCTGCTCTACAATTCTCCACAACATAAAATTGGATCACAGCTTATTATTTCTGGAAGGATTTGGCATTGTAGCAGCCCTTCCTGGTGCACTGCAAATTCACATACCAGACAAACACATTGTTTAGAAATGTGAAAGATACAAATGGACTGTTCCAAACATAGAGGTTACAATGTGTGTGTAATGATTTCACTTCTGATACCAACTCTCACAACTTTTGGCTCATGCCAATATAAAGTATTTTAACAAAATAACATTTGAACTTGGTGCCATATTCAAAAAGATGAGAAAAATTGGTTCAGGAAACCAAATTAAAGTTTTTTTTTATTCAGAAAGGTTTTATTTTTATAAGAATGTTATCAGCCGTGAAAATTATCAAGTGCATTAGAATGAATACATTGGAAAGAGAATATATAAAGATTTATACTTAAGCAAATTAATTAACAAAAAGACTAATAAATATATGTATTTCTAATATACACTGCCGGCCAAGTAAAATGCAACACCTGCAATATCTAGAAGCCTACATGGTGTTGCATTTTACTTGGCCAGTAGTATATTTTACTTACAAGTACTATATAATTTCAATAAATTTAACTGTGGAAGATTCTATATTTTTATAATTAGACTTTAAATTTTCATTTTTAATAAGATTTTGTTAATAATACCTGAGGAATTGATGTAATTTTTGTAAATGATGGTAAAAAGGTCATCAAAGAAAGCAAACTTTATACAACATGCATAATCGATTATATTAGTTTTCTAAACATTATCTAAAAAGAGATCGCCATTCGTAAGCAAATTATATTCAACTATAAAATTTGTTTTTCTAATTTGATTAGAGATTTAAACATTTAATGCTTGTTAGCTAATTTAACTAGTTAAGTTACAATTTTACAAATTATTGAATATTTTCTTTTGAGGTTATATAAATTTTAAGAAAATTTTATTGATTATATTTTTATATCAATTTAAATTGTTAAATTATTAAAAACGGAATTGTTCTTTTACATGCACTCTGGGTAAAGGTACTCTGGAATTCATTTCTTTTCTAACCTGTCTTGGCCTGGGTCTAGGGTCACCTAGAAGACTTTCGACCATCTCTTCCAGTTCTTTTTTATCACTTAAGCTGCCATTTTTAGAATCTAGGTGTATACCTACTTTTTCAGTTCGTACCTTGGAAATAATTCTCATCGATTCCTCGCTTTTCTTTTGACTCTTTTTCCTCGTCAGTTTTAGTTGTTCAATTTCTTTATTCATATCTTGCATAGTTTTCGATTTTGTTTCTAATTCACTAATTATTTCCTTGCTTGTCGTTTCCAATTTATCTATCCTGCTGTCCATTACATTTATTGAATTTTGAATTTGATCGATTTTACAATTGATTCCTTTCACTTCTGTCATTAACTCTGACAGCATGCATTTCATACTTTCCAAAGTATCTGATATTTTGAGTGTTCCTTCTTTTAAATTCTTTGGATTCGCTTTATATGATACTTGACGTCGATTCATCCTCATTAGATGCAGCTATTGATCGCTTATTGATCAGCCACGGGTTGGTTGGTTATTGAAATGTTAATATTACAGGAAAATAAGGTCAGGTATTTTATGTTAATCCTAAATCAGTTTTAAAATTAAAAAATAAATTATTAAATTTTGCTTGGTTTTAATAAGGCACCAAAACTTAAATTTTTTAAATAACGCATTGGATTGTTTTAATCTAACAGTATTGATTGCATATTATTCTAACAATTGCAGAATTTTTGTTTCCTCGTGTAATTTTACAGGAAACAAAAATTTCCTTGTGTGAAATTACACAAGTAAAAGAGAATATTAAATAGTCAAAGCAAGTAGAAAATGCAGCTATTAAATAGATTAAAGAAATTCTAAGCCAAAAGTAATGCTAGCAAAATATTGATTGCAACATAAATGAAGAATTCCTGACGGGAAAAGACACTGTAAGTTCATCTGTCCAACTACTACAGCTGCAATGATGCATTCTCTAAATAAATTCATTTAATCGATCGAGTCTAAATAAAGTCGGTTACCGTATAATAATATAACTTGAAAATTTTTAAAGTTAAATTCTTGTCTAATTATTTCTGTGTGGCATATAATTTTGATAAAATGAATTTGGGAATATAAATTTTGTTCAGTATAACTTCAGACACAATAAATTCCTTGATGATTCAAAAATAGCGATTAAATTTTAAAAAATTTTGCGTAGTCTTTCTTTTAACTAAAAATAGGGAGCCACAAGTGAATAGTTTCTTCATAATTAAGTTAACTGTAATGATCTTAATTCCGTCTGGAATTAATTGCTCGTATAACACTCGATAATCGAATATTTAGAATTTTTGTGATGCGGATAAGTTAAATGTTTAATTTAATCGCGCCGAGACAACTTTTCATTGTTGAAAATGTTATAAAATCACTCGTAATTTTATTTTGGATGTGTTTTTGACTCTGTTCCATGTCTGTTGATTTATAGTAAATTATCGATTTCTCTGCAGAGAGGGTGAAATATTTTAAGGTCATTCTTTACAAAATATCTTCTTGCAAATACTAATGTTAATTATTCGACGTCTGTATCTATAGAGAACTTGCATGAACGTCGTCTCACGTGACCAAATCGTAATATCTCCGACTACTGCGCCATATTTGTACCGGGCTGTTCGTGGAGGTGTCTTGTGTTTGAACGTCAAAACATGCATTTTAATTCCCCGGCTCTGTTATATGTAACAGGAAAACTATTTGAAACATTTTTGGACTCTGTACCTTGAAACGTCGAGAAATGCAAAAAAAAATTCGAAGTTTTTCTGTATATTATGTATGGGTGAGTGGATATGATTTTGTTCACCCAATTTGAAGAAGCTTAACTCCCATGACTTTTGTCGAAAATTTCTGAAATTTTGTAGAAAGATTTCGTCCCCCAAATACTCGTATACAATGCTATTAAATTTTAGTAGTAAAAGGTCGAGGGGATCGTGGAACATATCTCGAGTAGGTTAATTAGGATTTTACTCTTTTTTTAATATTTACATTTTTTTTATAAAATTCATCTGTACCCTCAAAATTAAGCTTTCTACCNAAATCAACACGTCAAAGGTAGTAGGAAAAACACTAAATTATGTAAACACTCACTTACTACCACACTACATTCATTCAATTTCTACACTCTCATTTCTACATTAGTTTATGCTGGGGCAGTCACAGTAACACAGCATGGACTGAAAATACAATCACAGACAAACACACACAAAACACAATTCTATCACAAGCCTGCCTGGCAGAGAAGAATAGAAACACAAATAAATGACATTAGGCAGGCTGACACAATACACTAAAAACAACATAACACCCAAATTAAAGAAACAACTCAAAAACATTTTCAAGAAAATCAAAACACACACTAAACATGAACATCATAACACACACATTACAGAATACATCGATACACTAAAACAGAAACTCACAGCAAAAGCACGTAGACTTAAACGATACAAAACATGTACACTACGAAAACAAAATAAATTATTCACAAACAATGAAAAACTTTTCTACAGACAAATCAGTACCAAAACAAACACTGATACACAGCACAGTGGCACACCAACANGCTTGAATAAAAGAAAATTGATAGCAGATTTCGCAAACATAAAGGCAAGAAGAGTTTAATTTCTGTAGATAAATATTTATATGGTTTTACACTTAAGT